TACACAGATACACACACATAGAGACACACACAGGGACACAAAAATACACACGCATACATACACAGACTCACACACACAGAGGCACACAGAGACACACGCGGACTCGCCTTCAGCCTGATGCCACGCCCCTGCTCAGCACCCAGCAAGGATCAGTGTGTTCTGTCCTTGTCCTTAACCATTGGTCCGTCAGCACATTCCCAGGCATCGGGGTTGAAGAAGCCCGGCAAGGGCGCCACACCGATGTCCTCACTGCAGGACTTCTCAGAGCCTTGATAGCTGACGTGCCCAGAGGTGGAGTATGTTACTTCTCTGCTCCCACACTCACTGGTCAGAAGCCCCCTGTCCTCTAGGACCCCGTTATGCATGCCTGGTGGGTACTGTTTTCTCGTTCAGAACATCTTTATGGGACAGCCCCTCTGCGTGCAGCTCTGCTCTAGGGCCTGGGACAGCAGAGAACGAGGGGACAAGGCTTAGTCCTGGAGCAGTCACCCGAGTCCTGGAGCTGGGGGAGAGAGAGGAACAGAGCCCAAACACAGTCAGGGAGCCACGCCAGCCTCCATGTGGTCCCCCAAGACCCCGAGCCCAGAGCGAGCCTGTCCCGAGGCCTGTGGCATCAGCGATGGGGAGGGGGCAGGGCTGAGTCAGGGGTTCTGGGGAGGGTCTTTGCTGACATGGCACAGAGCTGGGAGGGCTGCCAGATGCTCCCCCCTCCCCCGACTGCATCCTTCCTGCTACAGATCTTGATTAGCTTCTCGGTAAATTTCATTTGATCCGTGCACTCTGGAGAGCAGGCCTTTCAAGATCCGGTTCCAGTTCTGGTCATTCACGAAGGAGACTAAAGCTTCAAACTGGGGGCTGTGCCAGGAGCAGCCACTGGGAGCTGGCTGGGCTGGGGGATGTGTGCCCTGCAGCGGGGACCCAGGGGAGGGCCCAAAAGCAGGCGGAGGCACAGCCGCTTCTCCAGGGAATGGAAGAGGCCATGGATGGCTTTAGGGAGGAAAAGGGGGTGCCTGCTTCCGATGGGGTAGGGGAGGTCCATCCCTCCGTGCTTCCCACAGCTGGGGGAGGGAGGAGGGGTTGGCTGCTTGTCTCTGCAGGGAGGGGAGGGAGTTTCTGCAGCCCAGAGACACTGCCACATCTCCACGGTGCCAGGCCGGTCCCTAATGTCCACGGTAGGGCCGTGCTCAGTGCCCTCCACTCTGCCTGGGTACCGCTGAGGAACAGCGCTCGCTCTGTGCCCCCGGAGGCTGCGTTCCTAACGAGCCTGGTCCTGTCTGATTAAAGATGACAGCCGCTTGTCAGAAGGCACAAGACGTCGTTTTCAAACCACACACCGCAAAATCTCATGGGCTTTTGATACACTTTTAAAATCTGCGCCATCTTGAGTCCCACCTGGCTAAGGGGCTGCGCTGCCTCCCGGGCTGGGGGCTGGGGTGACGGCACAGATGACTGAGGCCCTTCTAGGACAGTTGTACGGAGGAAAGGGCTCTGACGGAGCAGGGACTGCTGCTGGGTTCCGATCACGTGGAACGCCCCGGCCACCGTGGCCACTGTGAGACAGAGCAGAGCAGCAGTGGGGGTTGATGCAAGGGGTGAGGACACTTTTATTTTGGACTTCACGAGCCTGTCTCAGTCGGCTTGGGCTGCTATGCTATGAACTGCGAGGCTTAAACAACGGCTGTAGAGGCTGGAAGTCCGAGATCAAGGTGCCAGTGCACTGGGTTCCTGGCTTGGAGAGTGTCACCTTCTCCCTGTGTCCTCCCGTGGCAGAGAGCTCTGCTGTCTCATCTTGTAAGGACACGAGTGTCCTTATAAGACATCCTGGGGGCCCCACGTGGCTTTTCATGGCTGAATAATCTGCCATTGTGTTTATCACACTCACATTTGGACATTTGGGCTGGTTCCACCTTCTGGCTACTGGGAATAATGCTGCTGTGAAGATTTATGTACGCGTTATCGTGTGGACCCAGGTTTTTATCTCTTTTGTTCTCTTCCTTTTTCCTAAATACCTAGGAGTGGAATCGCTGGGTTGTATGGTAGTTCTGTGTTTAACTTTTGGAGGCACTGACAGTGTTTTCCACAGTGGCTGCACCGTTTTACGTCCCCACCACCGATGTGCAAGGGTTCCAATTTCTCCGTATCCTCATTAGCACTTGTTATTTTCCCTTTTGTTTTGTTTTAATTACAGTCGCCCTCGTGGGTGTGAGGTGGTGTCTCATTGTCATTTGGATTTGCCTTTCCTGAATGACAGTGATGCTGAGCATCTCTGATTTGCTTCTTGGCCGTTCCTGTGTCTTCTTTGGGAAAAAAATGTCCGTCCAAGCCGTTTGCCTATTTTTTAACTGAACTGTTTGTCTTTTTGTTGTTGAGCTGTAAGAGCTCTTTATATATTCTGATCCTAAACCCTTATCAGATCTGTGATTTGCAAATATTGTCTCCCATTCTATAGTTAGCCTTTTCACTTTCTTGATAACGTCCTTTGATGCACAAAAGTTGTCAATTTTTATGAAGTCCAACTTATCTATTGTGTTGTTGCGGCTCACGCTTTCTGTGTCATATCCGAAAATCCACTGCCAAATCTGGGGTCAGCAAAATATACCCATGTTTTCTTCTGTGGTTTTATACTTCTGTGGGAAAACTCTCTTACTGGCATGTAACACACAGAGGAGTCCATGAATCTCACACACTGGACACACCCAAGCCACCAGCACCCAGACCAAGAAAACACATGCCCCGCACCCCAGACAGCCCCCTGGGGACCCCAAGGCAGCCACCACCCTGACTCTGACCGTATAGATTCATTTGCCTCGTTTAGAACTTTGTAAAAATGGAATCGGCTCCGCGGTGTCTGGTTTCCTTCCTCAGCCTTGAGTCTGTTCTAGGCCTCCAAGTTGATTGCTCAGGGTGTGGGATTTGGGGGTGCGTGGGCATGGGGTGCACACCACAGAGTCAGGGACCACCCCCCCCCCCCGGCTGGGGACAGAGGCCACAAAGGCCAGACTCCTGGGCGCCAAGCCTGGCTCCACCCCCTCCTGCTGTGTGACCTTGCTCAGCTTCCTCCACCTCTCTGTGCCCTGGTGGAAACAAAGGTGGTCATGAACCTCACAGGCTGTCACAGGATGAAGGCCAGTCAGTGTGTGAAGCGGCTTCTTGCCTCTCCCTGTAGAAATAAGCTGTATCCCCGTCGCTGCTGTTTTGGGAGACCAGGGGCGTTTGCCAGCTGCTGGGTTGGGGGGTGCTTTCCAGAGGGAAGAGTGTGGATGCTGGGCCGGCCCCTGGCGGTGGCCGCAGAGCTGTTTCTCTGCTCAGCCTTAATTCTCATTGGTCGGGCTGGGGTTTCAAGCCTGTCCTCTTACAGACTGTCCCCACGGCTTTCTCTCTCCACCTGACTCACGTGTAGACATGCCGTGTAGACGTGCCGTGTAGACAACAGTGTGTGCTTTCTCCCCCAAGTGGCTGTCACAGAACTCCTGCTGTCTGATGTCATGAGGGTGGGTTGTCCCCCCGACCCAGAGTGAAGGGGGTGCCTGCCTGAGGAAGGCGTGAGGACAGGTCAGAGGTCACAATGTTTAAAGCACGTGAGTCCTCAGTTGACACCTGGGACCTGATAGCAGGTGGTTTCTATTAAAGCTACAGCGCTGTTCCAATCCCCTGTTGGTACCTCAAGGACGGAGCTGCTCTGACCGCTCGGCATTTTAAGGCTGAAATGGCAGCTTCACCCTCACTCTGCCTGGGCCCAGTGCTGCAATGTGACCTGCTCCCCAGATAGATTCCTGAGGCTAGGGGTTCCTGCAATGGCCCCGTGCCAGGCCCTGCCCTCGAAGGCTCACTGTCTAGCGGGGAAGACTCACCCGAAATAATTGTCAAACCCTGTGAAAACGGGGCTGTGGGAGCCCAGAGCAGGGAAGCAATCGGCGGAAGCTTCCAAGAGGAGGTGGCGTTGGAGATGAGATCGGGAACATTCCAGGTGGTCCCGGGTGGGAGAGTGAGGAGGGCAGTCCTGGTGGAAGGGGCTGCAGGTGCAAAGGCCCGGAGGCCGCAGAGCCGGCAGGACTGAGCACTCGGCATTCTCACGCTTCTCCGAAGCATCCCTTTGCCTGGAGACACGGGTGGGCCACGCAGACTGACACCTCCGGTCCCACACGCAGGAAGGGAGTCTGTTCCGGATTCTTCCTCCCTGATACTCAGGGGTCCCCTCGGGCCTGGTTTGCCCCAAAGGCACCAGTGGGGAAGGGAAGGAAAGTGAGGTGCTTGTAATGAATTTGCACCCCGTTACTTACTGATTCAGGGGAGTATCTCTAATTCAGTTTCAGAGAGTGGCAATTAACCTTCGCATCTCAGGAAAGAGTGAGGGGGTTACATCCACATCTAGCGGCAGGCTGCAGCTCCACCCCACCCAGGTGAAGGAACGGTCAGTGTACAGTCATGCCGAACACGGTATTTTGGGGTGATTTTTTTGGTACCATGTAGAAATAAGCCAAACTTGCCAATGTCCTTTGTTTTGGTTATTTCGGTATTAATATTTTAATCGATTTGAATGGGTTTCAAGAATGATAAAAACTGCAAAACGCTCATTGAGAAAACTGAGCGATACAGAGAGACAAAAAGAAAAGGATCTATCACTTTCACCCCACCTGTCCTGTCCCTCCATCTGGGGAAATAACGTTAGGTCCTCCCTCCCCGCCCCACCAAGATACAGAGGTGCATGGGACCTGGCCCCCCTCTGCCTCCTGGGTGGGGCAGGCCCATCCACCACTGAGCCAGGAGGAGCTGGCGACACAGCTGCTCTCCCGGAGGCCGGTCTCTGCTCCCAGGCGTGGCCCCAGCGGGCAGGGGCCACATTCACACACCCTGGACGGCCTGGGGCACCACCGGTCCCATCCCATCCCCCTGGGTGTGGGCTCTCCACCACACAGCCCGCCTTCCTGCCTCACCTGAGCACCTGCGTGAGGACACGCCGTGCCCTGAGCAGAAATGCCTGTGCTTTGTGCTTTTTGCAGGCGGGGGAGAAGCACTTCCACCCTCTGTGTGCGCTATGTGTCGGGTGCGGCCGGATGTTCGCGGAAGGCGAGGAGATGTATCTGCAAGGTAAGAAGGAGAGAGCGTGCTGCTCCGGACCCAAGGGCACCAAACAGGCGGCCCCCGGGCCCACGCCCTGTGCCGGGTGTGCCCTGGCGTGTCAGCGAGCTTTCCCGCTAGTTAGGGAACGCCGCCCCCCAGCAGGGATGGGGGTCCAGGGCCCAGCAGGCTCTCCCCACAGAGCACCCACCAGAGTCGGCAGAGTGACAGCCTGCCCGGTTTTGCATCATCCATCCACGTGATGTCCGTGAACCTGAGATGGACGCGATAAGCGAAAGGCCAAATTCAAGAGCAAGATGCAGGAGTGTTGGAAATTTGGGTCCCACCAGCCAAACGGAAATGGATGTGGTCTGTGGTCGCTTCAAGCCTGTCCTGAAAGCCCCTCAGCCCAGGGTCCATGTCTCAGGGCTTTCCCCCGCACTACCCTCCCTTGATTGATGAGGGAGTGTAGAGACCACAGGCCGCTCCTGAGGCTTTTCTCCTGGTCAAGGGAGTCGCCAAAGTGTCGGTAAAGAGAGTTCTGGAGAAAAACATAGCCAACCTTCTCACCCATTTCGTGGCATTTCATGGGAAATCCCCAACCCATTCACCATTATAATAATAATAATAACAATAGAATAAAGGCGAGGCGTTCTGTGGCCACCAGACCTGGAGAAGCAGCAGGTGACAGCCAGTTGCCCCCTCCCTCCTTCTGCAGTGACCCTGTTCAGCTTGTTCCTCCTTTTGTTCAAAAAATTGCACCAACACTCAGACCGGAGCACCCAGCTCCCAGCTATTGCTTTACATGTTTATTCACCGGGGTGCTAGGAGTTCTCCTTCGAGCTACACTTAGTTATATCATCTTGAAGACCCACCCCATCCCTGTGGCTTATTCATTCCCAAGCCTTGATAAAGAAAGATTATTTGGACACTTGTCAAAACGGTAGGAAGATGGTATATTCAGGACATGGCAGAAGGTGGGAGGGGAGTCAGGCCAACTCCGAATTCACAAGGATGGGGGATTTATAGCCAAGGAGGGGGTGGGGATTAGGGGGGGACGGGTGGATGGAAAATTACCAAGAGGAAAGGCCGAGAAGGATTCCTGCTGAAGACAGGCCAGCGGCCTAGACGCAAAATCAGTGGTGGGGCTGAGGCTCACCAGTGCCCTCGCTGAAACTGGGCTCGCAGGTTGAAGGCCTTCCCCGAGGGGCCTGGGCGGGATGGGTTAGATGCTGAGACCCCCTGTCTCTGTAGTCACATTGTCTTTTCAAGGACGTCAGTGTCTCCGTGACCCTGGAGGCAAGCTGAGTAGGGCCAGACGGGCCGTTGGATGACCTCCCCCAGCGTCCTTCTAGGGCCGTGTGTCACACAGGCCTCCCTTTCTGAGACTGAACCTCGTGGGGTGACGTCAGCCAGGACTGCCTGGTCCCCAGTGTCCCCTCTTGTTCTTCAGTCTTGAGAGCTTATGAAAGGGGTCCTTTACGTATGTCTGGGTGGGGAGGGGTCACCCTGCCCGAGGCGCCCACGCCCACTCTAAGTGGCACCTTCAGGACGTACTGACGCCTAGCACAGTGGCATCGAGCCGGCAGCTTGGGGACACGAGCTGGCCATCAAGGGGACCCAGTCTCAGAACAAAGGTGCTCTTCATGGCCCTGGGCTCCCTGTTTCTAATGCGGGACCTGCCCTGACTTTCTGTGGGATGTCGCAGCCCATCCCGTCCCCTCCCAGCCTCTTTCCCAGTCTGTGCCGGAAGGGTTCAGACCCGGTTGGTGATTTTCACGCCCCACTCCACGGAGCACCAGAGTCCCACAGTGAGGGGCCCCTTTGGGGCTCTGGCCCTGCCCTGCACGGACACCCCGAGATCCTCTGCCTGGTCCACCTGGATGCTGGGGCTCCAGGAGGGCGTATTTGACGGGTGAATCCCATGCAGTAAAAGCTCCAAGGAGCAGAGGTCCCAGTGAGCCCTTTGGCCTCCGAGGGAGATGAGGTGCCCCCCAGCCAAATACCAGCACTGCCACCCAGCCCTGGACGCACCTTCCTGTCTGCAGACTCAGTGAACATAGGTGGGGGAGTCTGACTCTCACTAATTATCAGGGAGACCCAGATTAAAATAATGCGTTGATGTTATTTTTCCCACTGGGTTGACGAGGGTTAAAAGGAAAGACACATCCCCATGCTATGGGGATTGGAGGAAACGGGCGTCTTACCTGGCTCGTGGGCGAAAACTGGGAAATTGCCAAGATGCCCCAAGAGCCTTAAAAATGCCCACACCAGGGCTTCCCTGGTGGCGCAGTGGTTGAGAGTCCGCCTGCCGATGCAGGGAACATGGGTTCGTGCCCCAGTCCGGGAAGATCCCATGTGCCGCGGAGCGGCTGCGCCCGTGAGCCATGGCCGCTGAGCCTGCGCGTCCGGAGCCTGAGCTCCGCAACGGGAGAGGCCACAACAGTGAGAGGCCCGCGTACCGCACAAAAAAAAAAAAAAAAATGCCCACACCCTCTGGGCCAAGACCCCACTTTTAGGAAGCCCTCAAGTAAATCAGAGAGATGGCGTGGAACTCATGTACGATGGACTCCCCGCAACTTTTTTTTTTAATATAAATTTACTTATTTATTTGGCTGCGTAGGGTCTTTATTTGCTACACGTGGGCTCTCTCTAGTTGCGGCGAGTGGGGTCTACTCTTCGTTGCAGTTGCGGTGCGCTGGCTTCTCATCGCGGTGGCTTCTCTTGTTGTGGAGCACAGGCTCTAGGCATGCGGGCTTCAGTAGTTGTGGCACGTGGGCTCAGTAGTTGTGGCCCGCGGGCTCTAGAACGCAGGCTCAGTAGTTGTGGAGCACGGGCTTAGCCGCTCTGCAGCATGTGGGATCTTCCCGGACCAGGGCTCGAACCCGTGTCCCCTGCACTGGCAGGCGGATTCTTAACCACTGCGCCACCAGGGAAGTCCCTCCCTGCAACTTTATTTAGAAATAAAACTTTGGAACTAACAGGCAAGGAGCAGATAGAGACATTCTCATCAATCCGTACGATGCAATATTATGCAGCCCTTAAAGTTACAGTTTTGATATTTAATTACGTGGAGAAATACTAAGACACTTCTAAGCAAAAATCGCAGGATGCAAAACTGTGTACCTACGTTGTATTTAATATGTGTACACTGCAAGACAGCCCGACCCGAAGTGGGTAGGAGGTTACAGATGATTTTAATTTCCCTATATATTCTTTTTTAGGCTTGTTTAAATTTTAATCAAAAAAAACAGCTATTGCCTTTGTAATCATAAACAATGTTTTTAAAAAAGAAAAGCTTATGCACAAAGCAACCAAGGCCCGGTCTCTCTGGGAGCTCCGGGTTGGCGCAGATTTTCCCAGGGAGGAGCAGAAATAAGCTCCCTTCCCCGGCGTTAACTCACGTGACCCGGAGGCTTTGCAGGCGGAAAAGGGGTGTAGCTCCTTCCTGCCACCACACTTCTAAGCCCCTGCTGTGTGCCGGGCCCCTACTACGTCCACTCTGTGTGGCTTGTTCGGGGGATGTGAGAATGGGATGGACAAGGCTCCCGCCTCCACGCGGGGCATGGGCTGTCCTGGCAGTGGTGGATGTAAACGCGGACACAGCAGCCGTGGCCACCTGCAGAGGGTGCGTGAGTGGAGTACGGATGGACGGAGGGAGAAAGGGGGCCGGGCTGAGGTTCAGGGAGGCCCGAGGGGGGAAGCAAGTGCTCTGGTCCCTGAAGTTATTACCCCTATTTAGTTATATTAAATTCTGCCAAAGACCTGAACAGGTAGGATTATTGTCGGCCCTGTGTGCAGGTGGGAAAACTCTGAGACTCGGGGAGGTCGAGTTTGAATTAGAAAAGGGCAGGGCCCTTGGGGTCCTTGGGACGCTTGGTGACCTGTTACCTTGAGGGTGGCGCCTGTAGCTGTGGAAGCTGGGCGGGGCCGGCACGAGCGAGACAGCTCAGACACCCCGCGAGTGAATGCGGGGTCGGGCCCCCAGCCTGCAGCCCTCATCTTCACCCCACACCTAAGGTTCCCACCTGAGGGTCCCCGAGGAGAGCCCTGCCCCAAGCCCTCGTTACCCAGGCAGATCCCACTGGGATCCGGCCCCCCACTGCGCCCATGGCTGGGCCTGGCCACTGCCCACCCGCACAGAGAGGAGCTGGTGCAGGTCGCACGGCAGCCCCGCTTCTCTCCCCTGCCTCTGAATAGAAGCCACCTGCAGAGCCCCTCCTCGGAAAAGCCTCGTCTGGGTGCCCAGGGTTCCGAGGGACCCCATGGGAGCATCAGCTCGTGGTGGGGCGTTTCCTATCTGTTTCATGTCCTTCCCCTCCCGGTGGGGCTGTGAGCCCCGTGATCGGCCCCAGGCCCAGCCCTGACCTGTGACTCCGGCACAGACGAAGGGGAGTGAGGGTCCGAGCGTGGACGCCAGCTCCCTCCTCCTGGCACTCCGCACGGCCCCTGCATCTCCGGAAATAACACTAACACTTCCCTCTTGGGAATCTGTCCACAGGCTCCTCCATCTGGCACCCGGCATGTCGACAGGCAGCCAGAACTGAAGACAAAAGCAAGGTTGGTGGAATGCAGTCTCTTCCGACGCCTTTCCCCCGGCTTCTGCGCTGTCATCACACGGTTAAGAGGACGCTGGCCGCGTCTGCAGGCTTGCCGGCCAGTCCCACCAGCCTATGGGGCAGGTGGCCCGAGGCCTGGCGATGCTGAGGTGTAAACAGGTAGATCTGCTGCTGGGTGGGACCAGGGCCGTTCCCGCACTGGCCCTGCCGACCTCTTCCTTTGTTCAGTGGACGCTGATGGCTGCGAAAGTTTTGGGATAACGGCAAAGTTAGCGGGTCTCCAAACAGTCCCAAGACCGTCCATACTTCTGACGCCAATGGCTAGTTCGAGGGGCCCTCACAGCTGCCCGCAGGTTCATTAATGTATCTGAAGGACTCACAGAACTGTTACAGCCCCGGTTATGGTTTATCCCGGCAGGGGGCAGGGGGAGATACAGAGTGAAATCAGCCCAGCATGGGGCAGGGTCCAGGAGGGGTCCGGACACACAGGTGCCATCGTCTTCTCCCCGTGGAGTCCAGACTCGGCCCCTCCCAGTGACGGGTGACAGCGCACATGGAGTATTGCCAACCAGGGAAGCTCCGGGGCCAGGGACCTTATCGGTGCTCCATTAAATGACTGATTGGTTGGTTGGTTGGTTGATTGGTTGCCATGTGGTTGATTTCACTCTCCAGGTGACGTGACCCAAGACCACCAGAATCATAGGGTTGGCCTTTCTGGCGTGGCCAGCCCCACTCTAAGAATTTTGGGTGCAGTTAGCCCCCTCCCTAAACAGAGACATCCTATCGGGTACGATCACCTTCCAGAAACTAGAGCAAGACCACCCTCTAGGCCAGGCCAAATTCCTTGCCCCTCAGAGGCCCTGTGCTGGGCGCCAGGCTGCAGGTGCAGGGTGAGAAAGGAGGCCAGCATGCCCCTGACCCTTCCAGGGCTGGCGTCCCAGAGAGAGACAGAAATCAACGCCTCGGCAGGAAGATCATGCAGCAGTGGTTGGCGGGGCAGGAGAGCGGGGGAAGGACCGACCTCACCTGGGATGGTTGGGGGGGTGGGGGTGCAGGCGGTCCTCCGGAGGAAATGAGCGGGAGCTGAGCCAGAAGATGAGACGGTGCCAGCCCTGAAGAGAGGGAGAGGGAGTGCGGTTCCAGGCAGGGCGGGGGTTCGTGCAAAGGCCCTGGGGCAGGAACAGGGCAAGCTCCCTTTGGCTTGGGTGGCGGTGGGGTGAGCAGGGGAGGGGTCCCGCTGCCCCCGGGGCTGCCGCGCCTCCATCCTCACCGCTCCCTTTCTCCCCTGCGCCTTCGCAAACGCGTTCCTTCGGCCGGAGATGCCCTCTCGTGCCCTTGCATCACGCATCCTGGCAAACTCCTCCTTTGCATTTTAAGATTCACCCAGAACGTCAGCCCCTGAAGACCTTGCCAACTCCTGCTCCTGCCCCACGTCCTCAGCTCACACCCCGCAGGCAGCTCCCTCTTCACTAGAAGCCTGGAGGAAAGGCTCCAGTCTCTCTGTCCTGAATTCCCGGCTCCCACACGAGTCCTGGCAGGTGACACACTCAGGCGTTTGCGGGTTGAAGGAAGGAAGTGGATCCAGGTGAACTGCAGCCCAGGGGACCACAGGCCCTCGAGGGGAGGCGTGTCAGCCAGCTTTGCTCTGTCAGGCACTACCAGGCCCTGTGCCAGGGGGCCCCCCACCCCTGCAGGACCCCCACTGGGAGCCACGCCCTGCAGGGCCCCGGGATAGCGCAGATGGTCCGCGGGCGGCAAGTGGTGTGTGACCCACAGGACTCCGGGCCCGGCCTCAGGACGCCAGCAACCCCTGGCTTTCCACTCTGTCCCCCATGCGTGGTGTCCCAGGCATGCCAACCCTTTTAAAGCCACCAGACAGGCTACGGATGAGCCGGGTGGCGGTGGGCCCTTGAAGACCCTGGCTACTCAAATGCCGCATAGCAGCGGGTCTGCATCCGTGTTTGGGAGATGGACAGGGAAACTGCTGCAGGGGCGGGGGGACGCACGGGGCTACTAGCGTGCCCGTGTGTGGTGTGCAGAGTGATGCTGGGATCACTGCAGAGTTCAGACCCAGCCTTCTCGGACCCAAGCCCGTGGGATACCCAGAATTCCTTTCGGGGGTGAGGGGCTCGCTCTGCTGGTGGCAGCTCTGGGTCAAGAGGCCGAAGTGACCGGGGTCTCTGGGTGGAGGCGGGGAGGGGCTGACAGGAGCAGAGGCTGGAGGGTCAGGCAGGTCCCCCGGGAAGAGCGTGGGAGACCGGCCGATCCGGGGGTCTCGGTGGCTCCCTGCGACTCTCCGGCAGCTGTGTTTGGCAGGAGGGACCGTTGCCCAGAGGAATTCTGCTTCAGGAGGAAAGGGGCAGAGCTCTGCTGTTGGGCGTACTTTGCTCTTTACTGTTGACGCTGGTTCTGTTCGTTGAGTCCTTCACTAATACCTTGCACTGTGGGAGCAAGGGGTCAGGGCTGCAGAGTCCCCCCACCCTTGGCTGTGGGGAGTGAGCAGAGCCAGAGCAGAAACCTGTCCCCAGACCTAGCAGACACCGCGGGGGCTCAGGGCTTGGGAATTCCTGGTGGGGCTGGATGGAGACCCACCTCATGAACTTTGGCCCACGAGACGTGATGGGGGCATGGGCTGGTGGAGGGGACCCTCCTCGCACCGGGCCCTCGGGCTGGGTGGGACCCAGCGCAATTCAGCCACTCTTGCCAAGCCCGTTCTGAAAGAACTGAAGAGGGAAATCCTCACATTCTCTTTAGCAGTTGATTTCAGTGGGTTTGGAAGCCGCTGCTTTGGGGGCATCTGCCCCTTCGTGATTCATTCATGGCGCTCGGCTTGCGGCACCGAGGTGACTAAATCTCAAGCCCTGCTGTTCCTGATAGAGGCGGGAACAGGTGGGCTTAGGTGCACGTTACGTCCGAGGGCCGTGGGGACCGTCCTGCTACCCCTGGTGTGTCACGGCGACCTGGGGAAAGGTGACCCTGAGCCGGGGTGGGAGGGCTCTGCGGAGGAGGACCACGTGCCCCGGGTCCTCTGTGTCCCCAGAGCCTCCCCTGACCAGGTCAGCGTGCCCAGCACCAGCCCCTGGATTCTGGACCCACTGTTGAGCTGGCCTCAGGCTGCTCCCAGCCTGGAGGCCACTGGCCCAGCGGAAGCGAGGCTCTCTGAATGCTGCAGGCTGGCAGGACAGGGAGGAAGGGAAGGCTTGTTGCCCCGGGGGCTGGTCATTGCCCTGGACTTGGCTTCCTGGGCTTGTTTCCACAGATGCTTTGGGAACATTTGGGGCAGAGGCCAGCAGCCTGACAACAGTTGCCCTTCCGTGTCCTGGGACAGGATCCAGGCCCCAGTCATGCCCTGCTTGTCCCCTGTTTCACCCTCCCCGGGTCCCAGCCCCACCTCCGCCCCTCAGAGCTTCTTCTGTCTTGCCCGGGAAATGAGAATCAACTCTGGGCCTGGTGGGCGGGGCAGTGAGTGGGCACATCAATGGGTGGACAGGTCAGTGAGTGGACAGGGCAGTGGTGGGCGGGGCAGTGGTGGGCGGGGCAGCGGGTGGGCAGGACAATGAGTGGACAGGGCAGTGGTGGGCAGTGCAGTGGATGGGCAGGGCAGTGAGCAGGACAGTAGGTGGACAGGGCAGTGGGTGGATGGGGAAGTGGGCAGGGCAGCGGGTGGGCGGGGCAGTGGGCGGGCCGGGCAGTGGGTGGGTGGGGCAGGCACAGATGATTTTCCCTGGGCACTCAGGTCGTCCCCTTGGCGATAGTTCTCCAGCCAGCTGACTGCTTCCTGCCCGGGGGCAGGGAGAAAGCTGTACTTTTCTGTCTTGTTTGCTGCCTGCAAGGTGGCTAATGTGCATGAACCAGCCAGACCCGGTCAGCTCCGGGTCAGCCCAGCGGGGTCTGCTCAGGGGGCCATCAACCCCTGAGAAGTGCAGCAGAGGTGGCGTCACTAACTCCCTGTGAGTCCGGCCTGTGGGTGGAGGCAGCTCCACTGTTATGTGGTAAATGCAGACGAGAGCTAACTCACTCGTCTGGAGGGCTGCTCAGCAGGCGTCTAACGAGTGCCCCTCACGCCAGGCCCAGTGGGCTCCAGGACCCCCGGGAGCCAGCGCCATCTCTGCGTCCAGCAGCAGGGGCCGGCAGCGGAGTCCGTGCCAGGCCGAGCCAGGAGAGGGAGGGCAGTCCTTCCTCACTGCCCAGAAGGCCTCCCTGACAGCGCGCTCCCCCGGGGGATGGGTGCCCCCCGAGACAAGGACGCGCGTCTGCTGAGCGCGCCCAGGGAAAACCCGTCGGAAGGCTGTGGTCCTAACTGCCCGTCCCCAGTGCATCGTTGGGCAGTGGATCACGTGGTCATTCAACACATAGCCACTGAGCACCTGCTGTGTCCCTTCTGGGCTGGGTACCGGGAACACGGAGGTGAATAAGACCAGCGGGTCCCTGCCCTACAGGAGGGCCCACGTCCTCTGACAGGGGAGACAGATGGGCAGGCTCCAGGGTGCAGGATGCTTGCCTGTGACAGGGGGAGGGACGGGGCCAACCTCCCAGAGCTGAGACTTGGCAGGTGTGCGGGAGAGTGGGTCACAGGGCCCAGCCCTGTTCTGGCTCTGGGTCCCAAGCCAGAGGAGCCACGATCTGCTGGGGATTGCATGAGGGTTTCAGAGCCGTAGCAGGGGCGGCCCCGTGTCAACTGAGTAGCTGAGAGGAGCTCCTTGCATGGAGAAGGTGGCCGGGGACAGCGGGGCATGCTCCTGCTCGGGTGGCAGCAGAGCGAGCCTGGACTGACCGGGCTGGTCCCCTGGCTGCAGGTCTCCACGGTTACCATTTCAAGAGCCCATGTCCTTCCCCACCCCCACCCCAAACCCGGGGCACAGAGGTCCGGGCTGCTTACCGCGGGGGCACCTGGGGGGAAGCAAGAGCCCCTGCGCTGACTGTGAGGCCGCTGAGCAGGGAGAAGACAGGCTTGTTGAGATGGTCCCAGAGGCCCAAACGCAAGGACGGGGTGGCTGAGCATGAGTGAGAACGTTTTAGTGGAATTCGCAGAGGCCGCCGGGGTGGGGGAGCAGGCCTTGGTGTTGGACTCTGCCTCTGTGCAGCTGTGTGGCCTTGGGCAAATCACTAGCCCTCTCTGAGCCTCGGCCCCTAGGCTTTAAGTTGGGGATGAGTGGGTGCTGACCCCTCACGTGGTGTCCATGCAGCTTGTTTGGGACCTTAATGAGAGCCAGGCGCCCCCGTCACTGTTGTAGGACGATGCTTCCCGGGACCAGGCTGAGCGGTGGGGACAGGGCTGGGTGAGCTGCCCGGCCCTTTGCTGGTGTGAACAAGGCCCTGGAGAACGCAGCTGGGTATTGGGTTTGATTGTGAGGCTCCTTGGAACGAGTTGGAGTCAGGGTAGGGAGAAAGTGGGAGAAAGTGAGAGAAAGCCCAGGCCTCCTGACTCTGGGAGAATCACCTGGACTCGGCCCCCTCGTGTCTGGGCTCCCTGACCTGTGGGACGCGGGGACGCCCTGGCCCTCTCCGGGGCTGGGAACCTGGCACAGGGAGGAGAGCACCGTGCAGCCACCCACCTGCCTGCTCGGGACCCTGAAACATGCCAGAGCAAACCCAGGCGCCCGCTGCCGCTCAAAGAGCCCAAGCCCCCTTCCGTCGGGGTCATGGTGACAGTGAGCCGGTGCCGCCCCACCTGTGCCGGGAAGTGTCCCTCTTGGTCTGGAGGACAGTTCTGGTGCTTAGGGGCACTTTTCCTTTAAAACAACCGGTGTTTGTCGGCTTTGCAAAGAAGGGGCTTCCTGCCGTGAGCTGGAATAAACTGAACTGAAATAAAAGTAAGGACGATTTACCAGTGCCAAGCCCCTAGCAGGCTGGGCCTAAGTCCCAGAAACAGAAAGCACCTTCCAAGCAGCTTTTTCCGTTTCATAGAGAAGGAAGCTGAGAGTCAAAGTTTTCTTTCAAATGTAGTAAATGTGTACGTACATCATTTTTGCCTAGTAAAATAGGCAGCCTGGCCACAGGGACAGTGATAAAACAGACCCGGTGTTACTGGCCTCCGACGGTGCATCTCCTTTGCAACAGCACTTGACGTTGTGTTTTACTGGGGGTGGCCGAGCCCCAGGGGTCTGGCTGAGCTCCTTGAGGGACCCCAGCCCCTGCCTGCGAGGGGCCCGGGGAAGCAGGGCAGGCCTCAAGAGGATGCCAGGGTGATAACTGGGGCAAGGAGAGAGGATGGACCAGCTGGACGAGTGACCGAGCGCAGAGGTGACCACGGAGCATCACGCCCTCTCCCTCTTCTCTTTCCCTTCTAGATACAGAACCAGGCTCCCAATCAGGTTTACCCAGGCACCACCCCCTATGCCTTTCAGGTTTGTCCCTCCCACTACCATGTCGGCCTCACATCTGGTCCTGGTGTTGTTCCATTCTCGCTGGTGTTGTGCTGAGTGTAGCCAGAGCTGGGGGTCATCCATCCACTTGGCGGGGGTCCATGATGGGCGTTAGTGTCCTGGGGCTGCCATACAAAATGCCACAGACTTGGGGATCTTCAACAGCAGAAATGTATTTTCTCACAGTCCTGGAGGCTGGACGTCCAAGATCAAGGTGTGGGCAGGTTGGTTTCTCCTGAGGCCTCTCTCCTGGGCGTGTAGAGGGCCGTCTTCTCCCTGTGTCCTCACACGTTATCCCTCTGTGCCTGTCTGCGTCCTAGTCTCCTGTTCTTATAAGGACACCAGTCAGGTTGGATCCAGGCCTGTCCTAAAGACTCCGTTTAAACCTAATTGCATCCTTAAATGCCCTGTACCTCCAAATACGATCACATTCTGGGGTACTGGGGTGTTGACTTCAACGTGTGAGTTTTGGAGGGATGCGATTCAGTTCATAATGCGGCCCCTCCCAGGCTACTGGCACCACCGCAGCAGGTGTGGACCACTGAGAGGGGCTGGACAGAATTCCAGGGGGTGGGAGGAAGGGGCCTGCTAAGAAAACAAGAGAGGAGCCGTGAGTGGGTAGGGAGATGGGGGCGCTTTGTGAAGATGGGTCCCATTTAGACGGGGCAAGTGGGAGGTGTGGAGAGTTAGGTACGTGGGTGGTCCCAGCGGGGGTGAGGACTGGACCAGGAGAGGGTCCAGGAGCTACCCGGTCACGCCCGACAGGTGGGGATGGACACAGGTGCAGCGAGAGGGGTGGGAGCTGGAGAAAGGCAGGGTCCTCGCAGTGATGGGGGGCCTGACGTGGGGGAGTGGAGGAGATGGACAGTCATCTCGGGGATGTCACCTCGGGGATGCAGGAGTCATGGTCGGAACCGAGGGAGGAGGGCCGGGGGAATGGTTCCAAGCCACAGTGGGCACGCGAGGAGCAGGCCACAGACGTGACGGCCGCCGAGTCAGACAACAGAGGCGGGGCTGGCGGAACGAGCTGCAGCACATCCCCCGTAATCCACATGGAGAATAAGGTCTCTGAGCAGCACGGTTCCGCCTTTGCCGTTGGAGCGCGCAGAAACACGGAAACTGCATCGCTTGCTCTCATCCTCCGAAAAACAGATAATGTTGACGCCGTGAAAGCTTGGTGATCACGGGAGCGATTCCGGCCGGCGCTGAAAGCGTGGCTGTTTGCTTGCAGCCAGGGTCACCCGCTGTGTCTTCTGATCACAGCTGTGCTGTCGTTCATTCAAGCCTACATGTTTATTTTAAGAATCCTTTCAACCTGCAAATAAAAAGTATCTCGTGAGCCGGCGTTTCTGTTGGAGTGTCATTGCCTCTGAAAGGTTCTTCGCGTTGACAGTCTGCTTCAGCCTCCTCCTGTCTCCTCCTCTCCTAGGAAACCAGAACCTCTTCAGAGAGCATCATTTCCGTCCCTGCTTCCAGCACCTCAGGGTCTCCGAGCCGCGTGATTTATGTAAGTTGGATTCTCTCTGTGGAGAGTGGGGAGGGGCCCCGGGGCCTGGGGTCGTTGCTGAGTGTGCCCTCGGAGTGGGGGGCCGGGGCCAGCACCCCCCGGGGGCTGCGGGAGAGATTGGTGCAGACCCTGGGGCTGGGTCGGAGCCTCCAGTGTGGATGTGCTGTGTGACCACGGCCGCCCCGTGATGTGGCGACAGGTGCGCAGAGAGGTGTGCTCACAGCTGTGGTTACAGAGGTGACGGTGAGTCACATCCGCATCTCCACGGCCAGGACTCACCTGTGTAAATAACACTCGGGCCCTGTCACAAATAACGGTGCAGATCTGTGTCTGCTGCTGTGGGAAGTTCCTAACGTGTTTTTAGAAGAAGCATGTGAAGGGTAATACGTGTTGTGTGATCCCATTTTCGTTTGTGTGTGTATGTATTTGTGTGCATATGTATGTATGGGGGTGTGTGTGTGTGTGCGCGTACGCATGTGTATATGTGCACGTGTGTGTGCGTGCGTGTGTATTATGGGTATGGGTATGTGTGTGTGTATGTGTGTGTATGTGTGTACGTGCATATACAAGTCTAAAAACGATTGGGAACATTTTAACGAATAGTTAATAACAGTTACCTCTGGGTGGTGGGATTAGAAATGAAAGGTGATGGTTGTAATTATTTGCTAGTTTACTTGTCTAAGTGGCGAAATCCATTGTCTGGGAAAGAGCCTGTGCAGGGTGGGGGAGGGGAAGGGGGCGAGCCCTGGACTGGGTGTCTTGGCCCAACTGCACAGTCACCAAAGGACAGCCGGTGACTTGGGACGAGTCGCCTCTCTCATCCCCCCCCGCCACCCGGCCAGGGCCTCATTTTTCTCTCACACGATGGAGATGGGATTCGCTCTTCTCAACACTGCTTTTCACTCCCCAAACTCTCATTCTAGTTGGGCTAGGGCCATTCCTGACCCTAATTCCGATAGGTGATAATAACAAGGGTTCTAGTCCGGAGAGTAAATCGCAGGATGACCCTTTGCAGATGCAAACACGGAGGCTCAGAAAGGCAGCGTGAAGTCACCAGGCAGCTGTGTGCCCTTGGGCGAGATGTTAGCCTCTCTGAGCCTCTGGGAGCTCACCTGTACCTGGGAACCCACAGTGCCTGCTGCCCAGGGCCACTGAGGTACCGAGTGGGAGGCCCCGGGCACGGCCCTGAGCCCAGAGGGAGGACAGGAAACGCTCGCTCGCTGGGATTACTGTTATGACGTCTGCGCTCGTTTGCCGGGGCCACCGTAAAGCACCGCAGACCAGGGGGCCTCAACCACAGAAATGTATCTTCTCACCGTCCTGGAGGCTGGGAGTCTTGAGTCAAGGTGTCTGGAGGGTTGGTTCCCTCCGAGGCCTCTCTCCTGGACGTGTAGACGGCTGTCTTCTCCCTGTGTCCTCACGTGGTCGTCCCTCTGTGCACATCTGTGTCCTAATCTCTTCTTCTCAGAAGGACGCCAGGCGTACTGGATCAGATCCCACCCTAATGACCCCTTTTTACCTTAATCGCCACTTTAAAGGCCCATATCACCAAATGTAGTCACTTCTGTGGTGCTGGGGGCTAGTGGTTCAACACAGAAATTTGGGGAAGCGCGATTTAGCCCCAATACCATCACCATCCTGAATAATAATAATAACGACTCTTGTTATTTGAATGAGATGGTATTTGTGAAGCACTCGGCATGCGGCCAGGCATGGTCGTGTCCCCAGACTATAGCTACTGCTGGTAAACTGCTCATTAAACATGAACTATTATTTTTTGAACAAACTGGTGTTTGTAAGAGGCTTAGGTACGGTAGTGACCACGTAACGGTGCAGTGAGCAGTGACCAGAGTCCCCGGGCTCTGTGATCACTGTTACTTTAAAGGTCATGCAGCGGTAAGCGGTGGAGCTGTCTTTGAACCCAGGTCTCTGCCACCACAGAGCTTGGGTTCTTCCCAGGGAACCCCGCTGCTCAGTGCTGAAAACCAGCCCTGCTGGGTCCCTTCTTCCACCTGGCAGTTCTCAGCACAGCCAAGTCCACGCCCCTTGATCGGGTCACATGGCCTCCCCGCCCTTGGGGAACACGAACTTGCCAAGGATGATGGTGGGCACAGAAGTTGCCCACCAGCTGGGTGTACCTTCAGCCGAGGTAGATTCCAGCTGGTCACACCGTCCCAGCTGAGACAGACTTCTCGCCTGGTCACACCGTCCCAGCTGAGACAGACTTCTCGCTCAGCTAATACGAGTGTGCTGGATTCCAGTTTAAACAGAAGGCCTTGAAGTGCACACACTGCTATATTTTTTAAAAATTAAAAGTTAAAAAAAATAAGAGAAGACCTCGGGCGAATTAATTTAATCCTGTCTCCTGAGTCTGAAGCACCAGTTGTTAGTTTGACCCTCCAGAGGTGCCTTGAGTCCTGGGCACCAAGGAGTGCACGCCGCTGTCTCCTTTTGCCTCTCAGCATCCCAGGTAGATGCAGCTCAGAGAGGTGCAGAAGCTGGCCTGTGTCACAGCCTCTAAGTCATGGAGCCACCATCCAAGGACCTGCATCCATCTCTAACACATGGACTCCCAGCACCATGGCCAGCGCCCAGCCGGGAAACGTCCCACCCTGGCCATCCCTCCCAGGTCAGGGTTGGTACCAGCACCAGCTGGCAGTGCACATCCATGCAGTTCCTTCACTGAGGAGACGAGAGTCTGGTCAAGCAAGTGCCCTTCTTATCTCAGGCTCAGCCCCTCTGCTCTTCCTTCCATCTCCCTGTTGGTATCTCCTGTCACCCTACTGTGCACCCGACTCTGCTCAGCGCCGGGCACACTCAGGACCTCAGGACGGTGGTCCCAATCCATGCACCAGCTCAGCGAGCTTAAAAGGATGCCAGCCGCCTGGGACCCGCCTGCTGTGGCATGGCTGTTCTCAAATGCAGCCTCCTCTCCCTCCCTCTCCCTTCCTGCCCATCAGGAAGAGATCCATTCCCCGCGATGTCCCTGTGTGCGGGAATGGCAAGGGAATTTATCATGCGATGTGGCTACCATCTCCCACACGGGCTGTGAGCTCCTGGCGGGCAGGGGCCGTGCCTCACTCACCTTAGTATCTAGGATAAAACATGCACACAGTAGGTGCTCAATAAATTGTGGGTTTTTAAAAGTAATCTTTTCACCGCCTTTTTCTTTATTACAAATGTAACCCACATTTATTAGCAACAAAATAGTGATTGGTGCAGAGGTGAAAATGAATACCATTTATAATCCTCCCAGCCAGAGTAGCCACTGTTAATATTTTGAAGTATGCCCTTTAGGTTTCTTTTTCTCTGTGTGCGTGTATTTTTTTTTTTTTAACAAAATGAGGTCACATTGGCTATATTGTTTTGTAACCTTTCTTCAGCATGGCAATAAAGCAGTGAGTTGACATAGCGTAAAAGCGGCATCATTAGGTTACATCATCGGTAGGATTATGTTATAGCTATAGCATCATACATGGTCATATCTTATTATTAGCTGTTATGCTGGATACAGTGTAGGAGAGAAGAAAGCTAAGGGAAAACACTTGTACTTACACACACTCCAGTGGCCTTCCGCCAATGAGACAACAGAGCCCGTTGTCATGGCGACCGCCCCAGGACTTGAATGCAGGGAAATGCATCTGTGAGCCCCGCTGGGCAGGACAAATGCTGAGGAGCCAGGAGCACAGCCACCTAGCCGGCCAGCTGGGGGCGGGCAGGCTTCTTTCTGAGCAGGGTCGTGTTGGTGGCAGTTGGCATTGTCGGGCTGCCTCCCTGATCCCCTGTGTCAGGGCAAGGCGGGCGCTGTTGACTGTGCACCAGGGCACTGAGCGCTGCGATCATAGCAGGACAGAGGTGGGTGCGCGGACACAGCCTCCACGGTGACCTGTGAATGCCGGCCTCTCCCAGCCCCTCGGCAGCATCGCCCTTTATATCGAGCTGTGTTGATGGTCACGAAATCCAGCAGATGGACAAGGCCCAGGTGGTATTCCCATTTTCAGGGGGAGACAAAGACCCAGAGAACCCAGCTGGCTTTGGCAAATGCGCAATCGATTTTAGCTCAATTCGGCATGCCTGCCCCGAGGACCTGTGCCGTGTCAAGCATGGAGTTAGGGAGAGGGACTCCATGGTGAATCAGGGTCCTGAACCCCCAGGAGCCACCAGCCTCAGGAGAAAAGGAGACAGATGCGCCAACGAAATCAGTACCTTTACTCACAGGAGAAGGGGCGGTGGTGGAGGGGAAGCGTGCTGAATCTGGAAGGACCAGAGGATGAGCCGGGCAAAGAGGCCTGGGAAGGGCATTTCGGAGGGAGGGAACAGCATGTACCAAGCCCTCGTGTAACCGAAAGTGCGGTCCAGCTGCTCGCCGCTCAAAAGCCAATAAGGAGGCAAGGCTGGTGGAAAGGAAACATTGCTCTATCTTGGACGCCGGCAACGAGGGCGAGGTGGAGGAGGGCGGACTCCTGTCCAAAGGCTGACTCCCCCCGCTGACAACCACTGGGCAAGAGCTTTTGTAGACGGAGGGAGGGGCTCCACGCAGAAACAGCACAGGCAGCTCTGACCGTCGTCTTGAAATTGGCCATCGGTCGTCCGACCGGCGTCATCTTGATTGCTTTAAGTACAGTCAATCTTCGGTTCCAGGGTCAGTTTGTTCCCATTTCCTTGAGGCCAATTCTTGGAATTGTGGCAGCTTATGTCATGGCTACAGTCTGGTCATCACGTAGTTAACTTCTTCCACCTGGTAGGGGTTTCAGTACCTATAAGGCAGCTCCCAGGATACGGCTCAGAATATTATCTGTAGCCCTTAAGGAGGAGCTAAAGGTCCTTGACTTTGCTTAATGATTAAACTATTATCATTTGGTCTCCTTTGACGGTTTTCCTTTGTTTCTGCATCTTCTCACTTCTCTGATTAAACTTATTCTTTGGCTGAAGTTTTTCTACAGACAAAAGGCAGGCAGAGGACATGGGTGGAAGCACCATAGGGTCCTGCTCCGTTTCACTCAGGCTGTGGATGTTCTAGAAACTGTAAGGGGTTGAGCGTGACAAGGGGCATGGGTGGGGGAGTAAGAGGCTTGGATGAGCAGATACACAAGGGCCAGATCCCCAGGGGCCTGAGTTCAGATTTCCCCGGAAGGCAGAGAGGAGCAGCTCAAAAATGCTGATCTGGCGGTACCACAGTTACAAATGACAGACTCAGGGTTTGAACTCAGGTCTTCTGAACGTTGCCCAGGGTTCCCAAGGGAATCGCCAGAGATCTGAGACATCAGGTGTTCACTCTCTCAACCTACGTCACAGATGGCAGGGATTGCCCCTAGCGTACCCAACGACTCACGTGAGCCTTGGAGTTGGTGGTCAGGGAAGTCTTCCTGGAGGAGGCGGGCTGCCGGACTTCAGAGGATAAAGGAAAGCTGGAGGGTGGAGGCTGAGCCTGGCACACTGGGGGAACAAGGAGGAGACACCTTATGATGAATGGGCTGGAAACATCAGGGCCGAGTTTGGAAACTGCAGTGAGGGCTGTGTCACCCATCCCAGAAGGGGCTGCCGGAGGATGTGAGCTGGAGGACGACGGGGTGCAGCTGGAGTTTGAGCGACGTGGCCCTGGCGGGGAGGAGAGCCATGGTGGGGAGGAGAGCCATGGTGGGGAGCATGGCTCTGGACTCAGACAGCCTGCGTCTCCTCCCTGGCTGTGTGACTCTGGGCAAGTTACCTGGCCTCTCTGGGCTCCGGTTCTTCCTCTGTGAAGAGGACGTCCTGTGAGCGCCCCCAGTGCTGTCCAGGGTGGAAGGTGTAGTGTCACGCTGCTGTTGGTGGTGTTTGTTAGAAGAATTGCTGGCAGGAGAGCCCCCCAGAGGCTGTGGCTGGATAGGGACGCGGGCAGTGAGGGCCTTGACCAGAGCCGCCTGGGTCTGGGAAGGGGCAGAGAGGAGGGCGGTGGCAGCGTTGACCTGGCCGGGGGCACCGAGGGAAGCCAAGGTTGAGATGAGGGTTCCTGCTGGGTTTGGGGGTCGAGCCAAGCCAGCGGGGGCAGCCCGAGTGGCCAGCTTTTCCTGTGGCTGGCAATGCCAGGCTGAGATTAATCCTCAGAGGGGACCCGGGGGAAGGAGGTGACTGGTGTGTCACCTCCAGGAGGGATGGGAGCCTGGGCATCCACCGCACCAGGAACTGGCTCGTGCTGCGAGCAGGCTGGGGACTCACGTCCTCTCTTCCGTTGGGCTCGTGGGCTGTAAACATTCCACAGGTGCTGGAGGGGTGCTGCAGGGACACGAGGACCGAGACCGGTGTTTGGGGGGGGAACCTCGGCCCTGCTGTGAGAGCCAAGCTGAGGCAGCCACCCCGCTCCAAGGCCTGTCCAGTCAGTCACGCGGCCCCGGGCAGCCCCCGGAGCCAGGAGGAGGGGCCAGCGGGCGGTGCAGGGGAGGCCGGGCCCAATCGCAGGGGAGCGAGCACCCTGGTGGACCTCACCTAAGCAGATGTGGTGGCTCCTGAGTGTGTGTGTGTGAGTGGCTGGGTAGGGAGGTGTGTACGTGTGCACTAGTTTGGTGGGTGAGGTTGTGTGGGTGCGAGTGAGCGTGTGGAGGTGCGGGTGTGTCAGTGTCTCCCCTCCACAGCTGTAGGCGGGCATGTTCCCTGTGTGCGTGCATACGTATATTGTGTGTGCGGGTCTGCATGTACGTGTTGGGTATTTGCACGTGTGCATACATGCATGCACACATCATGCATGTGTTTAAATGCATGTATGTGCATCTTTTACGTACGTGTGTGTTTTATGCGTGCACACGTGTGTGTGTGCGTTGCATGCATACAGGTATACTACGCGCCTGCATCCATGTGTGCGTGTGTATGCATGTCTACATGTGTGTGTTTTCTGTGCCTACACACATGTGTTTGTTTACACGTACATGTGTGTGTATGTATGCAAGCATAGATGTGTGTGTGTGTGTGTGGTTGTGTGTGTATTTAGACCACGGGCTGAGTTCTCACTGTCTTCGGGGATGCAGGTCCGTGTGCCATGAGGCTTCCCCACGCCTTTGCCCCCCGGCCCCACCTCTACCCACGGCTGCCGAGCGACCACGCCTCCAGGTGTGGGTCTGACCACCCCCTCGACTCTTTCCTTCCTCTCGCAGGCCAAGCTGGGTGATGAGATCCTTGACTACAGAGACCTGGCCGCTCTCCCTAAGAACAAGGCCATCTACAGCATCGACCGCCCCGACATGATCTCCTACTCGCCCTTCATCAGCCACTCGGTGGGGGACAGGCAGAGCTGCAGCGAGGTACGGCCCGGCCCGGGGCCAGCCTGTGGGGCGTGACACCCATAGCCGGTCCCCTTGGCGTCCGTCCCCACGGCCATCCGGCGGCCGCAGCCTACTTTACCCCCTCAGATAACCTGCGCCTCCTCTTTAAAGAATTCCCAGTGTGCTCTGGCCCCAAACTGCCCCTCGCAGACACACTGATGGGCCCCCTCGGCGGGCGCAGAAAGCAGGAATCTCGCTGGCGATCAGGAAAGTGACAGGAGCAAAGCGAGAGTCTCTTTATTTTCTTAAGTTGGGAAATGTATCCTGTTCCTTTGTCCAGAGCGCTCCAGGCCACGCTCCGGCTCTCCCCGCCCTGGCCCACTCCTCCGTCCCGTGAGTTCCCCGAGCTGGCTTAACCCCTGGTTGAACCCCAGACGACTTCTTCCCCACTGTCCCGTGGGCAGTGTCCTTTGCTGGGCCTTCCTAATCACGGCCGCTCCTCTCCAGTTACCCTGGAATTTGCTGGTGAAGTTGCTTTTCCTTTTTGAGACTTCAGTGTGACTGGGCCATGGGGGTGCCTGGGATGGAGAGGAGGCGCGTTTTGCCAGCTGTCGGCCATGTCTGTGTGCCGATCACGTGTGGTGGCCCGGCATGGGCGCCCCACTCGGAGTCTCCCAAGGTGTAGCCGAGGCTCTGGGGCGCCAGGCTCGATGATGGGGTCGTGCAGGCAAGCCCAGCCTAGCAGACACCTGCTGTGGTCCAGCAGCTGGCGCAGCTGCGGGGCATGAGGGCAGGGCGGGGACAGCCCAGGGCTCCAGGGGTCCACGGCACGCTCGCCGGTCATGCTGCAGTGGCTAGCCCTTGTCGCTGATATCACAGTCATCACCCGTTCCTCAGGCCCGCTCTCACTCTGCACGGACACCGGGCTTCTGCGTCGCCCCACTTCCTGTGGCCCGGCACTTTGGGAATGACCGTCCCAGGATGTAGATGAGAAGACGAGGGTGAGGGAGAATGAGGGTGAGGGCCCAGGACCGTGCTGCTCACGGGGGCAGAGCTGGGGCTTGGGCCCTCGTGGCTGACCTTGGTCACTGCTGCCTCCGTGCCGGCTGCGGCCATTGCCCAGAGCGAGGTACTGGGGTTCTGTCCCTCCTCCATCTTGGCCTCCATCCTCGAGGCCTCTGCCCTCCGCAGGCCCTGCCATGGCCCGGCTGGGAGGCTGCTTAGAGGTGTTCTCTGTGGGAGCCCTTCTGTGGGTAAATGGTGGAGTGGGCCACAGAACGTGGGTCAGTGCGCTGAGCTGAACAAACCCTGGCCTCGGGGCCGGACCGCTTCCCCTGCTTCTCTGGAACTGCAGCCTTCCAGCAGTTCATCCGAGTGTGGGAAGCTAGCAGAGGGAAGGGCAGTGGGCTGGAAGCACAGAGATCTGCCAGGCTTTCTGAGCCTCAGAATCCCCTTCAATGAAATGGGAAGATTGGGAAACACTTTCCCCTTGCCGTTCTAATGGTACGAGAAAATGTCGCCAGTCGCCAGGGCTCCTCCTTGGAAACTCTCCACAGCGTCTTCCTACCTGTCCAGGAGAGGGGGAGACAGGTGAGCTTTCCTGCCTGGAAGCCCCGTTTCCAGAGCCCCTTCTGCCAGGCGCTCCCTCCCTAAGTCCTGGTAACACGTCTGCAGGTGGCAGGCGGTGCTCACCTGCTCCAGCGGGAGGTGCCTGGCCGGGGAGGCCAGTCACCACTCCCCAGGGCCCCGATGACCCCCGTACCCCGCACACTGGTCCTCACCCCAAGCCCCGAGGCTCTGAATCGCACTTCCTTTCTCTGGGCCCCTTTTCTCTCTTCGGAAGAAACCCAAGGGTGATGGGCTCGCAGGGTGTGGCCACCCAACGCCCGGAGCCAACAGTCTTCCCTTTGGCAATGGGTCCTCGTGAGGGAGAGGCAGGGCAGGGGCGGGCCAGGATGAGACAAGGTCCAGGCTCATCCGCAGAGAGGACTGTCTTGGGGACCTTTTCCTCGGGTGCCATTGACTGTGTGTCTCCAAAAAGGAGGTTTTGGGACGTGTGTTGGGTCTCGTGCTGGGGTTCCCTGCCGTGTGGAGGAGGGTCCGTGGTGCAGGTGAGCCTGGGCCGGGATGCTCTCCTCCCTGAGTGACCACCAGGCACCGGGCCTAACGGGTAACTCTGTGTTGTGTCCACAGTCCCCGCGGCTGCTCTCGCCGACGCCGCCCGAGGTAACCGCCCCCGGCCCACCCCGTTTACTCGTGGCGCTGCCACCCGGATGGTAAAGATAACCAACCGGGGCTCCCCTGGAGGGTCTCTCAGGCCCTTGACTGTGGCCTCTGACTGTGGCATCAGGCCGTGACCCTCTGAGTCTGGGGCTTCCTCCTCGGCGTTGGTTATTTTTATAATCATATCTCATCTGCATGCTTCCCTTGTGTCTGCCGGCCCTGCGATACGGACACCTGGGACACCTGTGTCTGACCTGAGGTCTGGGTCACGGCTTTCTTTAGAGAAAAAGTCCAGGGGCTGGGTTAGCCTGGGCTACGTCATGCGCCTCCAAGTGGGACTTATGGGAATATCTTGGGTCCTCGAGGATAAATGTGCTGAAAGCATTTCTCTATCAAATAGCATGGATTAGCAGCCCGCTCTTTTTTCTTGTTTCTCAAAACTGATCCGTGACATAGACAGCCACCAGTCAGACTTCAGTCTGCATGGGCATCAGACCTTGGGTCCAAGAACGCGACAACCAAAGCCTGCACGTGGGCAACTAGCACCGAGCTGCCACGCCCATGTGTGGCCGCGAGCCCCGGGCACAGTGCAGGCGAGAGGATAGGACATCTGTATGATGTAAACTGGCCAGCGGGGCTGTGCAGAGGGTGCCTGGGGATGGAGGCTAGACTGCAGGGCTGTAGCCATCCCAGGGGAGAGAGTGTGCCCATGGCCGGGATGGGCCAGGCCGAAGGGGCTCGGGGTGAAGCATGGGTGGGGCCTGGCAGGTGTGATCCCAGCATGAGGGCTGCCTGAGTGGAGCGTGCAGGTGGGCACACAGGCAAGCTTTAAGGACAGTGGCTCCGTGGGTTCTGCTAAAGAGCAAGCCCTAGGAGGCGGGAGGTCAGCTTGGAAGGGCGTGGGAGCCGTGAGCGCCAGACCCAGACTCTTCCATTACTCATCCCACGCCAGCCTGGAGGGGCAAAGCGGCAGCGCCCACCCCACGGCAGGACGCTGGCCCGTGTCGTGACTCAGGCCAACGTGCCGAGCTGTGGCAGGCGGGCGGTCTGCTCTGCCCCCGTGCCATAGTGCCACGCCATCTCATGCCACCTGTCACCTGCCCTGACCACCCCAGACAGTGGCCATCCTGCTTGAATGGAGTCTGCGTTGTCAGTGCTTGTGGGTCTGACTCAGCTGGGCTTCTGGGCTGGGGCGGGGGCCTTCTTCTTACTGCCCGCACCTGGGGAGCCCCCATCAAGGCCGGGGGGGAATACAGAATCTCAGTGGTTCTCAAACTGTGTTCCGAGGGGCCTTGGGTGCCAGGAAGGATGGGGCGAGAGGGGACGTAGGTGGATGCAGGTGCCTCTGCCTCCTCTGTGGGAGCCCCAGCTACAAGGAGGGGCTGCTAGAGGCGTGGGCGGGACCCTGCCCTCCAGTACCTGGCAGGCACGGGGACGATGCTCAGGCCGAGGGGAGTGTCAGCACCAAGGCCAGCCCCCCGTCTGGCTCTTCAGATGTGCCCTGGAAGGTGGGGGGACTGCGTCCTGGGGCCGTGTTGAGTCAGCCTCTTGGGTCAGGAGAGCAAACGCTGAGTGGAGGGCGGAGGGGTGGGTGGATACGGGTGGGCGGTGCTCTCGGCGCCGGGGTTCACCAGGCTGTCTTCTCCCAGGGGTATCAGGATGACCGCTCCTACAAGCAGTGCCGGACCTCCAGCCCAAGCTCCACCGGGTCGGTCAGCCTCGGCCGTTACACCCCGACCTTGCGGTCGCCCCAGCACTACAGCCGTCCAGGTACACGCCCCCCGCGGCCTCTTTTCCCCCCGTGAAGCTGGGCTTCTTGTGGCTTTTCCTCTTATGAGTCTGTCTCTTACTTTAGCACCTGGAGAAACGACCGGCAGGGCGTGGGATTGCCAGTGGGGGATGGAGAGCCCGTCCTTTTAATGAATGCAAAGGCCCTCTCATGCCGGGGCAGGGAGGTTAAGTGCAGAGGCAGTTGGTTACCCCGTTGGTTAGAGGAGCCGTCCTGTGGAGCACACAAGGCAGCGCTGAGCACGTAGAATCCAGCTCATGTGTCAGTAGCAAGAGATGTCAGGAAGGTAAAACAGCACGAAGGACAGGAGACCAGGGGTCACTTAGCTCCAAGCTCGCGTGGTTCTGGGAAGGTTTGCACTATGGAGACAAAATCAACGCACAAAAGCTAGAGTCAGCATATGCATTGACACTTCACCGGTAGCTGGGTTAGTGGCCCCAAAGACAGCTGTCCCCAGGGGCCACTGCCAGCCCCCTCCCAGTGGGGAGAAGCCTGAGGAGGATCCTCTACCCCATCCCACCTCATCCCCCGCCTGGCGCCCAGCTACGTATTCCATCCATTCCTTTCCCTTTTAAAAATCCGCGTTGCCCTCAGTGTGTCCAAGCCACAGGGACTCCACACAGAGGCTGCTTCCTGAGGGATTTTTGCAAAGCGTCTCCTCCTCGGCCAGCTGTTGCATGGCTCTATCCTCACCTCCATGGACTCAACTCTGATTTTTGCAGCCCTTGTGGAAAAATCAAAACTCATTCATTTGCAAAGTTATTTTCATGGACTCCCTGCAATGTGCCTGGTACATACTGCTCAGTAGATGTTTGGAAAGTGGGTGAGTGAGTGAATGAATGAATGAATGAATGAATGAGTGAGTGAGCGAGTGGCCAGGTGAGCAGGTGAGCTCAGGAGAAGGGCTGTCAGCCTCTGCTGACCCCTGCCCACCATATTTGAGTCTTCTGGCCTTGTTGGTTGTGCCTGGTCAGGTGGTCACCCCAGAGCTGAGACCCAAATCTCTCCTGGGCAAGGCCGGGGCACGTGTCAGGTGACAGAGCACTCCCTGGTCTGGCCATCTGCCCTCCACGTGGGCCCTGGATCCCAAGGAACCCCCTAAGTGGGGCAGTGGGCAGGGCTCAGGGGCCAGCAGCTCCCACCCAGCAGGCCTGGGGGCGCTGCCACCCTGACCCCAGAGGGCAGGGCTTCCTCACTCGGAACCCGGGGCAGACTGGCCCAAAGTGTACTTAGCGGCGCCCCTTCAGGTGCCTCAGAAAGGTGTGCATTCCTCGAGAGAGGAAGCACAAATGTTCCTAGCAGAGCGGGGCCTAGGAATATCTTGCGGCTTTGTGGCCCCGAGCGCAGGGCCGACTCTGACTTGTTCTCTGTTGCCCGCAGCTGGTACTCTGAGTGTTGGTACCAGTAGCTGCCTGTCCCTGTCCCAACACCCAAGCCCTACATCCGTGTTCAGACATCATTACATCCCCTACTTCCGAGGTAAGGCGCTCAGGGCTGCGGGCTGTGGTGCAGGGCCGGCCGTGCGTCTGTGTCTCGCTGTCCTGTGTGCGCCGCGTGGCTTCCCCGAGCCCATGTCTCACGCCCATGCTCCCCGCTTTGCGTCTTGTGTGTCCAGCTCTGTCGGCGTGTACACATTCCCAGGAAGTAACTTGTGTCAGGGAGCAAGCGGCGAGGCAGGAAGAGGGGTCTAGGACCTACCCAGCGCCCACCCTTGGGCTGGTGCCCAGAGCCTTTCCCTAAGTCATCTCCTTTTCTTTCCCATGTCAGCTCGGCAGGTGCGGGGACCGCTAGCCGTGCTTATTGGGAGCAAATGCTAAGGCACAGAGGGTGGCGATGTCCACGACCTCAGCTCCTGGTGGCCGGGCGGGAGGCATACCCCGCACGGCTGCAACTCCTCCCAGGGCGCAGACCTACCCGCCTTCCCCACCCGTGCCTGGGCACGCGTGTGTGAGTCACACCAGGAAAAGGACCAATTCCTTTTCAGTCCGTACATTACGGGCTGAATTACGTCCCCCCAAATTCATATGTTGAAGTCCCAACCACCAGTGTGACTGCATTTGGAGAAGGGGTCTTTAGGAGGTTATTAGGGTTACATGAGGTCATACAGGTGGGGCCCTAATCTGATAGCGTGGGTGGCATTTACGAAGAGGAACAGACGCTCTCTCTGCACGCGCTCAGAGGAGAGGCCACGTGAGGACAGAACAGTTGTCTTCAGCCAAGAAGAGAGGCCTCACCCAAAACCAAGCCTTGCCAGACCTTGATCTGGGACTGCCAGCCTCTGCAGCTGTGAGAAATGAATGTCTGCTGTGTAAGCCACCAGCTGTGGTCCTTTGTTATGCAGCCCTAGCTGGTTAATACATCATGAAAAGACTCCCAGGCCACGAGAGGAGCAGCAATGATCTCTTGCTGATTCCCCCAGACGCGTGTTAAGGTCCCCGTTCCTTACAGTTGCTGAGTGGTGAAAGTTTCAAGAGAATCTTCTGTCCCCGAGGGGCCAAGGGAGGACAGCTCAGCTGGATCATTCCGTCATTGGATGGTCACCTGGCAGGGCTCCGTTCTCATTATCATCCCCACCTGTTTGCCTGACTCCATCAGCCTAACTGAGAAGAGAACCCCTGGTCATCGGGGTGCCTTCCTCTCCTCTTAGTGGGCCTGTCCCCACAGCTCATGGCCCGTTCTGGACGTACTGACTCTTCTGAGAAGCAGCAAAGCCCCAAATCCCGTGAGCGGGAGAGCAGCGCACGGGGCCTCTTGCACACCCGCGTAGCACAAGGGTGTCGCGTGGCCGGGGTGTGCCCTCACCCAGAGGTGGACAGAAGACTCGCTGCAAACTGGAGTGAATTTGACATTTAGACAAGTCACAGCAGGTCACCGAGGAGAGATGCCTCTTCTTCCTTTGCTTGAAGGTCAGAAGAGCACAGGACTTTCCTCCCGCCTGACGTGGCCCTGCTTTGGGGTCCCTGGTAGAGGTGCGGCCCAGAGGCGAGGCCAGACGGCAGGACCCTTGCCCTCTTGGCTGCTCTAGCCTCGCGCCCCGGGGCAGCCCCTTGTGAGCTGGGCTGGCTGCCTGGGGGCGGTTTTGCCTACGTCCGTCCAGGCTGGGGCAGGAGCCAGAGCAGACCCGGTGATGGCCCCTCCGCTGCCCCTTAGGAGCCTCCACCTCGAGTTCTTACTGCATCAGGCGACCTCAGCCCAGGACGGGCCCCCTGGGCAGCTGCCCCCGGCCTGCAGCACCGCATCCTCAGCCACATGAGAGAGGGCCAGGGAGGGAGGCCGAGGGAAGGGCAGCCCACTCACCTCAGGTAGGAGCAACGAGGCCCTTCCTTCCATCCTGTGCTGTGGGCAGGCGGGGCAGGCAGGCCCCCACCCCACTGCCCACCAAGATGTGGTTTAGGAACCACATTTCTAAATGTCATAGCCCTTCCAATGGTGTCCCTGAGGTCAGGGGGCACGGTGCCCTGCGGTCTGCTCCGGGTGGGCACTGGCCCCGCGGTGGGCAGGGCTCTGCTCTGGTTCCCTCCTGGCTGCTTTGGCCCCCAGTTCTCTTTTTCTTTTTTTTTTTTTAACATCTTTATTAGAGTATAAATGCTTTACAATGGTGTGTTAGTTTCTGCTATATAACTAAGTGAATCAGCTATACGTATACATATATTCCCATATCTCCTCCCTCTTGGGTCTCCCTCCCACCCCCCCATCTCACCCCTCTAGCTGGACACAAAGCATCAAGCTGATCTCCCTGTGTGATACAGCTGCTTCCCACTAGCTATCTATTTTACATTTGGTAGTGGATATATGTCCATGCCACTCTCTCACTTCGTCCCAGCTTACCCTTCCCCCTCCCTGTGCCCTCAAGTCCGTTCTCTACGTCTGCGTCTTTATTCCTGTCCTGCCCCTATGTTCTTCAGAACCATTTTTTTTTTTAGATTCCATATATATGTGTTAGCATACGGTATTTGTTTTTCTCTTTCTGATTTACTTCACTCTGTATGACAGACTCTAGGTTCATCCACCTCACTACAAATAACTCAGTTTCGTTACAAATAACTCAGTTTCGTTTCTTTTTATGGCTGAGTAATATTCCATTGTATATATGTGCCACATCTTCTTTATCCATTCATCTGTCGATGGACACTTAGGTTGCTTCCATGTCCTGGCTATTGTAAATAGAGCTGCGGTGAACATTGTGGTACATGACTCTCTTTGAATTACGGTTTTCTCAGGGTATAAGCCCAGTAGTGGGATTGCTGGGTCGTATGGTAATTCTATTTTTAGTTTTTTAAGGACCCTCCATACTGTTCTCCATAGTGGCTGAACCAATTCACATTCCCACCAACAGTGCAAGAGGATTCCCTTTTCTCCACACCCTCTCCAGCATTTATTGTTTGTACATTTTTTGATGATGGCCATTCTGACTGGTGTGAGATGATATCTCATTGTAGTTTTGATTTGCATTTCTCTAATGATTAGTGATGTTGAGCATTCTTTCATGTATCTGTTGGCCATCTGTATATCTTCTGTGGAGAAATGTCTATTTAGGTCTTCTGCCCATTTTTGGATTGGGTGTTTGTTTTTCGGATATTGAGCTGCATGAGCTGCTTGTAAATTTTGGAGATTAATCCTTTGTCGGTTGCTTCTTTTGCAAATACTTTCTCCCATTCTGAGGGTTGTCTTTTCGTCTTGTTTATGGTTTCCTTTAATGTGCAAAAGCTTTGAAGTTTCATTAGGTCCCATTTGTTTATTTTTGGTTTTATTTCCATTTCTCTAGGAGGTGCGTCAAAAAGGATCTTGCTGTGATTTATGTCATAGAGTCTTCTGTCTGTGTTTTCCTCTAAGAGTTTTATAGTGTCTGGCCTTACATTTAGGTCTTTAATCCATTTTGAGTTTATTTTTGTGTATGGTGTTAGGGAGTGTTCTAATTTCATTCTTTCACATGTAGTTGCCCAGTTTTCCCAGCACCACTTGTTGAAGAGGCTGTCATTGT